GTAGACTGTCCTTCTCAGAGAGGGACAGCAGGCAGTGCAGACAGCCTGTAGTCCAGTAGACTGTCCTTCTCAGAGAGGGACAGCAGGCAGTGCAGGCAGCCTGTAGTCCAGTAGACTGTCCTTCTCAGAGATGAGCGAGCCAGGCATAGCATCTCCTACCTTACCCCCCCCACCCTTAGCTGTCCCAGCCCTGTGCTACACTACCCGGGGGCATGTACAGCCTTGGCCCTCCCTCCCTGCGTGCCATCCTGGCAGTCCTAGCACACAGCAAGAAGGACCATGTCCAGGTCCAAAGGAGAAACAGACTCTAGGGAGCCATGGGGACCTTGCTACCAGGCCTCTGGTGGATCAGAAAAGGAGGTCCCGCAGTCTCACAGGGTCTCCATGTTCTCCAAGGTACTGAGCCTGGATCACCCACCTCACTCCCTGCTGCAACTGTAACACCAACCTGAGGGGTCTGGATGATGCCCCCTGGACCCTGGCTCCTACAACCCGCTCCAGCTGACAAAGATGTGTGCTCTTCAGGTTCCTGGTCTCCCAAAATAGAGAAAGGGAGCAGGGAGGGTGAGGATGAGGATGGGTGACACATTCTGTCCAAAGACACAGGTTCAAACCCCAGACAGCAAGGGCACTCTTAACAGTTGCAAGCCACAACCTAAAGCCACTAAGGATGTGAACACCTCTGCTTGGGAGCCTTTGACAAATATCCAGAGCCAAGTCCCCTCTCCAGGACCCCAAGGAGATATGGGTCTGACACATCACCGGCACACAGTGGGCACATGCACACAGGGGGCACATTCTGACAAACCACACCGCAGCCGGTCAAATGAGCCTCCTCCCACTACAGACCACTCAGATCTTACTGTGCCCAGCTCCGGCTGGCCGCCCTCCCAATAAGCCACAACTGTCTGCCTGGCCTAGAGGACGTCTGGTCACCTTGCATTTGCAATCTCAGGAAGCTGTGTCATCCCAGCTACATCCAGAGGTGACTAACACAGCTCGCAGGCTGACAGCAGGCATGGCACAGCCCCTCAGCTGTGGCTGCCCTCCCTCTGCCTCAAACCCAAACCTCCCCTCCCTGACTGACTGGTCCTCTCTGCCACCCGGTCCTTGTTGGGGTTCTGCCCTGTCCTTGGGGGTCCTGGGGCTTCAGCCTCCTCCTAATCTCCATGTTTCGCTGGGGATGTCTCCTGAGAGCAGCTAAACCCAGATTTGTGTGTGTGTGTGTGTGTGTGTGTGTGTGTGTGTGTGTGTGTGCTGTCGTTCTTCAGACTGTTTACCTTGTGCTTTCCTTTTTAAGCTTTTTGTCTGTTGTTTGTTTGTTTCTTTGTTTGAGACAGGGTTTCTCTGTGTATCCTTGGAGCCTGTCTGGAACTCACTCTGTAACCAGGCTGGCCTTGAAACAGATCCGCCTGCCTCTGCCTCCCAAGTGCTGGGATTAAAGGTGCGTACCATCACCAGCTGGCTCTTTTTAAACTTTTAAAAATTACATTTATTTTTCTGGGCTTGGTGATGTACATCTTTAATCCTAGCATTTGGATACCAGAAGCAGGTGGATCTCCAGGAGTTTGAGGCTAGCCTGGTTTATATAAGGAGAGTGTGTGTGCGTATGCACACGCAAATGTCTGTATGTGTGCGAGGATATATATATATATATATATATATATATATATATATATATATATATATATATATATATTTGCCAAAGTGTGTGTGAAGGTCAGAGGATAATTTGTGGGAGTCGGTTCTTCCATGATGTGGGTCTTGGGGAACTGAATTCACACCATCAGGCTTCGTGGCAAACACCTTTACCCCCTGAGCCATCTCACTGGCCACCCCTCACTTTTTTGAAACAGGGTCTCTCAGTGGCCTGGAACTAACCACTAAGGCTAGGCTAGCTGACCAGCCAGAGAGGCTCAGTGATCCTCCAGTCTCTACTTCCCCAACACTGGGAAAACAGAGTGTGTGACCACACCTAACATCTTTACGTGGGCTCAAGCAAGCACTTCATTGACTGAGTAATCTCTCCAGACCTGTTTGTTTAAGACAGGGTCCACATAGCCCAGGTTAGCCTGGAACTGACCTTCTCTTGCCTCCACCTCCCAAGGGCTGGAATTACAGAACCAGCTCTTACCCTCAGCCCCAAGGTCTCCTGCCTAGCCCCAAGCATGGCTCAGCTTCACTCCTTGGTACAACAGATTCCCAGCTCTGATCTTGGGGCCTCAAACTTAGTCCTACAGATAACATAGGACTTGGGGTTCCCTTCCGAGCTTCCTGCTCTGGGCTTCCTGCTCTGGCTGATGAGTGTTCCTGGCTGTGGTGGACCGAAGGTCTCCATGCCACCCTCAACTTCCACTTCTTCCAGAAAGCCCCGCTCTCTTTGGGGAGTCAGACCTAGACCTGGTTCCAGAAATTCTTGCTGTACACTGATCCCCTGTCAAGCAGAGAACTTGTGTGACTGATACCAACTCCCTCAGGGTATCAAGGCACTAAAAAAGGTCTGTTTTATAGGCAGAGGCAGGGATTCAGACAGGGAAGGAAGCCTAGGAGAGGGTGTGAGCCTTCCCCCTACCATACCAGATAACCCTATGGAAGAGCGGGCAGGTGTGCCACCAGACATGACAGCCCCTAGCCTCTAACCCTGATCTCCGACCTCAGGCCAGGCCATCATCAAGCAAGTGCTGGAGGCTGCAGGACCCTCCCCTACACCAGGCACATGGTCACCCAGCTCAGGTCCACCTCTGTGAAATTCTACAAATTTTCAGATAACACTTTCCATTTCCTGAAACTGCAGTTAAAAGGAAATATAACGCATGTGTGACTTATAAAAAGCAAAAGTAAATACAAGCGACCAGGCATCTTCCCGGAGCGGGGGACAGGGAGGGTGGGGCGGGAGAATGAGTCACTGTTTATAGCTCCCGAGATCGGCCACACAGAGAATTCTCCCAGCTGGCCTGATTTCCATTTCCCGTGTGGACTAGACCCGAGATCCAGAAAGTCCACTCCAAGAAACCTTTAGACTCGGAACAGCCAGGGCAGAAACAGACATAACTTCTTGGTCTAGACTGCGATCAAGACATGCCAGGGACTGTAAACAAACCCTGGGGCCGGCAGAGTCCGGGACTGAAAACTGAGGGTCCCTGAGATAGAGTGACCAGGAAAGTCTCGCCAGAAGCCTTGAGGGTGCTAGAGAAAGGGCTGGGACACAGAAAGAGCCGACTCTCGGGGAAACATGGCCTCCCGGACCCTCTGTCCAACTACCATTTTTAGCAACTACCTGGAAAGTACACAGCCCTGAACTTGGAACCTGGCCCTACAAGCCCAGCTCAGTTCAAGAACAAGAGGGGAATGTACTCCAGAGAAGCCTGGCTTGGTGGCTTTTCTTTTTTGCTCTAATAAATGTTTTAGTTTTAAGTTATAACATTAGACTTATTTCCTTTACCAAGGTCAAACTCACAACATTTCTCCTGTTGATTTATCTAAGGGGCGAGGAAGGCTTTGTCGTCAGTAGGGGCTGTCCACAGTGACACAGGCTATAGGTATGCCCTGCCTATCTACAGCTTTCCTAAATCCATCCACATGCTTAAATCCACGCCTTTCTGTTTTGGTTTGTTTTTTGGTGACAGTCCCACCATGTAACCAAGGCTGGTACTGAACTAACTATGTTACGTAGTCCGGGCTGACTTCCTGCCTTAAACTCCCGAGTGCAGGGATTATATATGTCCCACATAACAGCTTTATATCAACGCCCCCCCCCCTTTTTTTAAAGCTCCCTGGCCCTAAAAACATCAGGCTTGAAAATGTCAGCTTGAGGCATCACAGTACCCACGTGCAAGCCACCAGATGCCTTCTGAAACGTGGTTTGTTACAGTAAGACCTCAGCAGTGCCAATCCCGGGGTCCCAGAGCTGTTTCTGGTGATTCCAGAGAGAGGGATGCTCTGAACTACCTACCAGCTGTGGCATAAGCTGGCTTTTTGGAACTGGGAGCACCAGGCAAGAGAAAGGTGAGTGTCTGTTGGTCAGTTGGCGGGTAAATTATTAAAATGCATCTGTGTTGGCTCTAAGAGCTGTGTGATAAGCAAGACTTAGCCTAACTTCACAAGAGAAACAAGAGCACCAAGCTGCCTGGCCTCCCAAATATCGACTGCCTGTGAACAGGGCAGTCTGGTAGGCTGGAGTGGCTGCCTACCAGTGTAAGAATGCCAGGAGAGTCTCTCCCGTAAAGGGACCTAATCCAGCCACCTAGGACCCCTAAGGCTTTCTCCACCTGGGGTCTGCTAGATTTTGCTCGATTTCTCGTCGCAACACTCTTCACACACCTATCCGCTCACCGTACGTGGGGACCTCACACTTCAGAGTTGGAAGAGACCTTGGCCCCTGACCACACCTGAAGAAAAGTGGCGGAAGCGATAGGCTGGCCAAGACGGTCACCTGCCTCGCTCCCCACCCACAGCTTCCACATCCGGCACCGCTGGCCGGTCAGCTGATTAAAAAGGGACACCACTTATCCAGGCCCTTGCGGGGTCGCGGCTGTGGCGGGGGGCCGGGAGGTGGCCCTACGCCGACGGAAGTGGCCAGGTGCGCACGGCTCCCGGGAGCCGCTCTCCCGCACGTGGCGGGTCTCGAATGGGCCCTAAGCCAGGTCCCGCTTGGCACGTGCTCGAGGCCCAGGCTGGGCCCCGCGGCCTTCGGGGCGCGCCGCCTTCAGGTGCGCGAACCCGGGGTCCCCCTCCCCAGTCCCCGAAGCCCCTCACTCACCCGGGTCGCGCGCGGGGCCGGGCGCGGCGGCTCCTCGTGGACACGCACTCTCCACGCGCGCCTCTGCTCTCGCTCTCCCCGTAGTCGCCGCCTCCGCCTGCGCGCTCCGGACTCCACGCTCCGACTCGGCGAAGAACAACAAGTCCCCGCCGCCCGCCGCCCGCCGCCGGCTCCCCAGTACTGACACCGCTTCCGGGATCGCGCGTCGGAGCGCGTCACCGCCCCGCCCCCGAGGTGGCCACGCCCCCTATCCGATCACGCCTCTTGCTGCTCACGCCTCTTCGCACACACTAAAACCACGCCCCCTCAGGCCGAGCGTCGGCGCCACGCCCCCTGTTGGCCACGCCCCTTGCTTGCCTCTAGTCACCGACTCCACCTAGATCCCTCCACGTGCTGTTGTCTCCATTCTGAACCCGTGGCCCTGTCCATCTCCAGCACACCCGGGGCGGGGTCAGTGCGCCCTTCCCAAGGTGGGGGATGATAGGCGAGCGTGACGCACACCCGGGGTGTCTGTGCCCCACGCTTCCCGGGCCTTTCAGCCTGGGCACCGTGTCTCTATGCCATGTGTTACCCACTGTGATCCTGAGGCCGCAGCTGCTGGATCCTCCCAGGCCCTTGGCAGAGGGAATGGAAGCCAACTGGGTGTTGACCATGTTCTGGACATAACACCAAGTCCAGGTCACGGAGGCGAAGTGAGCTGGGCGCTGGGAAGTGGGTCAGTTACATCACATATGTGTATATGCATGTATGTAGACTGGTGTGCACATGCTACCTCGCAGCTGTGGGGGTCGGTTCTTTATTTGTCCCATATGGGTTCTAGGGATCGAACTCGGGTCGTCAGGCATGGCAGCAGGTACCTTTACCCGCTGAGCTATCTCACTGGCATTGGCTTGGAGCTCCTGATCCTCCTGCGTCCACCTCCTGAGTGCTGGGATCCCAAGCATGCAATACCATGCCCGCCTTCATTTCTCATTTTTTTTAGTAAGCAATGGATAGAAAGCCGTTTCTCTCCGATGTGGGAATGTGCTGATGTACGGCTCTCCTCAGTAGGCCTTGGTGGGAGACAAGAGCACGGTTCAACTCAGGGCCTCCTTTACTCCAGCCCAAAGCAGTGGTCTGAGTCCTAGACGCTTGCCTAGGAGTACCAAGATGTCCTTGGATGGGAGCCATCTTGCCCCAGAGGAAGGACAGAGTTGGAGGGTGATGGTCCTGCGACCCTTGGATGGGAGGCAATGCCCAGAATGCATTTTTTTTTTTTTTTTTTTTTTTT